AGCTCTTCTATGGCAGGGACATTGCTATAAGACTTTGCTAAGACTTGACAGCCCGTTACACTGTCCTGAGAATTTCATGTTTGTCCTCCGTAGTTCAGATCTACATATAGGATGTGATGGATCAAAGCCAAGCATCTTGCTGTGACCACCAGCTTCTGATTACAAGTAGAAACTTAATAAAGACTGTTCTGAATACAGTTGGTATACCACAGATTGAAAGTTTTGATCAGTTTCAATTATACTATTTTCTCTCTCTTTTTTTTTTTCCTGGGCTAGCATGATAGTCTTCATTATAGTTCTGCAACAGATGAAACTTTGGCATCCGAACAGTCAAGGGTGATGTGTCATACTGAACATGAAAGACAGCAAAAACACAACTTCAGGGGAATTAAATAAAACCCAGCAGTAAAAAAAGAAGAAAAAAAAAGCATAAACACAACATATATTGCAGCATATAGTAAGAATAATAAGAAAAAGGAGCTATTGTGGAAAAAAACCCCAAACGGCTATAGAAAGGAAAATCAGATTACAAGAACAATATCTGGTCTGAAAGAACACCAAATAAAAACAGTTTAACATTGTTTACAGAATTTAATATAACCGGGATTTACAGATGACCTGGCAAAGCACCATGTGGTACTAAAACAGCACCTCAGCTTAAAACTCGGAATTGTACGAGGTGGGGTGTGATCCCCCGTCTGGTCTTTATTGCCGTTCATGACTCCAGCAGGGTGATCTTGGTCTCCCCGTATTCATTCATCCTGAACTCATATCCAGGGGCATGGTGTGAGCTGAGCTTTCTCCATCTGGAAAAACGTCTCTTTATAGTCTTATAGACTGTGTGCCATTCTGTGGCATCACAATGTTGGTGTCACCACCCCCCTAGTTAGAAGAAATAAATAACTTTGTCCAGAGAAGGGAAAGAAAGTTTCCCTTTAATACAATATACCCTGGCTGCTGCTACCATTTTGTGATTCCACGCTTAGAACTAGTACTGGAGCCAAAACTTTTTTTTCTTTAGTTTTGGCTAGCGCAAAGGAGGGTTTTGACCCCTGTCAGCTTTTTTTTCTATAGGAATTTCCTATGCTCCTCGGCTCCATCTAGTGGACATAATGTGCTGTGAATGTCGCTTGCATGTCTGTTCACTGTGCAACCAGGTTATACATCACCCCCACAGTGCCTCTTTCAGCCTCCCTTCTCCAAACCCTGGTGTGCCTTGTGAAGCTATGGCATCTACTTTTATTAGTGTAATACTCAGTGTTCATGTAGACTCAGTAGTTGTTGTCCTGTGTGTAAAATGCACATCAAACACATGACAGCAGATTCCCATTTAGTTTAATTGTGCAATGTGCAGTGTAAGAGCTCCTAGCAACCTATGACGTCTTGTGTGGTGCCACCCAGCTCACTGACGTCACCGGTTGGCAGGAGCTGAGTGGGAATGCACTGGCTTGCATCTCGCCTAGCTCCTGGCAACCAGTGATGTCAGCTGGGCGGGACTCCAGACAGAGCCGCTAAAAGTCTAGTCTGGCGTCCGCCACCATCCCCTGCCCTTTTCAGGGGTAGTTCACACCACAAACAGTGCGTTCTGGCCTGATTTGGTGCCAGGACCCCCTGGATCGCATCCTGGCTGGCTCCCGTGCATGCAGCATTTTTCTGACCGCACCGGAATCGGAATGCAGGTATTGATGTGCCACACGTTCGGGTGCGGGCAATGGTACTGCGGCCGGGGGGTGTAGCTGCGGTGCCATTGACTTCAATGCATCGTCACGCCCCTTCCCGCCCCTGAATGCACGAAGCCAGCCGGAACGCACTGTTTGTGGTGTGAACTAGTCCTCAAACAAATCAGCTGCGCACTCCCCCCTCACCATTAACAATTCCCTGACAGCCCCGCTCCTGGCACCCCCACCATGCCCCCACCGGCATGACATTGCCTCAGGTGGCGACAGCCCTGTGGATGACAGTTCTAAAGCAGTGAACAATGCTGCATTCTAAGCAAAAGAACCCTTAAGGTCCACGCCACAACGCCTGTTATATGTGTATATGGGTATATGAGTTGAGCAGTGTGTCACAATCCATTGTTAGCTGAACCTCAATGCATGTACACAGTGCCCTATAGTGCACCCCACTGCCCATATGCAATTGCTCCGTGAGTTGCAGTGCACCATGCATTAAAAACTATTTTTTCAGACGGATTGAGACGCAATGAAAGCCCATTCAAAAAGAATGGGCTGCCTAATGCAATGTGCCTCAGTGCAGGACAACGCGTGTGTTACAGTGCACCACATTTTGGTGTAGTGGTCGTAAGTCTAGTCGGTCGGGATGAATAGGAGGCAGCAAAAGACACGCCGTGCTATGCCTACAGCACACTGATGACAGGTGCACTTTAATTTAAACGGTTTAATATTGCTTTACTCAACCTATAGCGGGCAAGAGTCCAAACCACCAATGTGCTGCGTATAATCTGTCAGGTTTTGGCACGCAGGACAGCTCATAGTCTGCAGAAGGTCAGGACTTAGCAAACACAGAGACTAAATCACCACTCTTTCCCCAACAGTAAAATCCACTCTTACATTATACCTGCTTTTACTACTGTAAATTGCGGAAGTGTATTGCTGTCTAGCTTTCCAGATACAACATTCTTTAATTTCAGTAATATTGACTTAAAGGAAAAGGTCATGTACGAGGGGAAATAGTCTCACACCCCTGGGAAAATAAACATGCCGAAATTGACTATTATAAACCTGCCGAGCTGCAATTTAACTATAGTCACAGCCGCCATCTGCAAAGTGAGATGTTGATGTTTTTCTGAGCACACTTTCAGGCAGACATGAAAGGAATCCTTACGGTCGGTTTATTCCTGAATCCTGACTGGGTTTCCTTGTTTAATATTCCCAACAAAATCACCGTAGCCCTTTTCAGAATCTGGTTTTAGAGAGTGAGTGCAGATTTACATTGAAAAGTACTGTGGTAGCCATGAAGCTTATGTCAAAAGTGAGTGTCAATATGATTTTGGATAGCATTCCTCGCCACCTGCTGTTTTCATAGAAGGCTGTATGGGGTTTCAATTAGAGAAACATAGTCTGAAGGCAAACAGTTTCTGCTGTGTTCTCTCTTTTCATAACTCATAGAACTCTGTGGACTGTGTGTTATGGGTGAACCTTGTTTAAATGTGAAAGTAGTATTAAACTCTCAACTTTTTTTTAATGATGAACAAAGATCAACCAAATATACGTTGCCCAGCAAAGTATTTCTTTACATTTTTGCCCAAGCAGTTACATTCATCCTGTTTATGAACATATTACGTTGACACCCCCTGGCAGGTGATATGGGATGATGAGAGGCGCCGAGTCTAAGCACCTGCCGGGCTTTCACCAGAACTCCTGATGGTGGAGATGAGTTTCGCTGCTTGCTGGTGCCAGGTAGCGGCCCCCAGGATTGCCCCACCAAGGGATGAGCAGGACAGGAGGGGATCCAATGAGGAGACAGTAATCTGGAGAGTAGTCAGGAGAAGATAGAGATCCCGATAAGTGAGGTAGAGAATGGTCGGACGGTCCAGTACAGCCACTAGGTAGGAGACAAAGTCAGGCGACAAGAGCATAGTCAGATTCAGGCAGGGGTCAAGGCTGGCGGCTAACAGAGAGTGGTCAGATGGTTCAGGTCGGCAGCGAGTAATCAATCGATAAGGCCCCATTCACACTGAGCGATTCGCAAATCGCGCGTTTGTCGCGCGATTTGCATTTTGTGTGATATCGCGCGGTTTGTCGCGCGATATCACGCAAATGCTTGCATTGAAAAGACTAGAATCGCGGCAAAATCCGCTCCAAAAAGGGTCCTGCTGTAGCCACGACAGCGACAGACAGAGCCCCATTGAGATGTATTGGAGAGCGATATCGCGCGGTAAATATCCGCGATATCGCGCGGCTTACCGCGCGATAAATCGCTCAGTGTGAACGGGGCCTAAGGCAGGAGACACGAGCATAATTGGATTCAGGCAGATGATCAAGTCAGGAGGCAAGTTTTGGGGGAGAATGAGTAAATAGCACCACCCATTAATATGTAAATATTATATTGTAAAGCGCAAACTATTGGCGCTATATAAATCCTGTATTATAATTATAATAAAAATAATAAATATCACAGTTGAGAACATTTTCACTGGGGAGCCAGTAGCCCCTATTTTAATTTTGGTTGCCCCTGTCTGCCTGACATCTTGTGTCCGGGTTTCTGTTGTAACACAGAGTGCTGGACAGGATGCGATCCCCAGTCTTATGAACATGCAGGGAGAAAAGTCTTCCATTGTGTTACAAGCTCTAGGGCAGGGGAAGGCAACCTTGGCACACCAAACTACACATCCTATCATGCATTTGCCTCTGGGAGTCACGCCTGTTACTGTCAGTCTTGCAATGCCTCATGGGACTTGTAGTTCCACAACAGCTGGAGTGCTGAGGTTGCCTACCCCTGCTCTAGGGTTACTAGGAACGATAAAGCCCTAAAAATGCTCCTGCATGCAGCAGCACATCGCTGAACTGCAACCTGCCACCATAGAATACCATGAGAATCCTCACCTCCCGTTAATCGCTCAGATGTGAACCAGAGCTAAGTAGGGGTATCCCTCACATTGGAACTATATCCTCTCACTTCCTGTTGAGTCCACCGGACAGGAAGTAAAGGTAAATCTCCCTAACGAGACACAAATGGTATTTAATTAATTCTACACTGTGTTCATATTTATTAAAATCGCTATGATACAGATTTTCTTTAAACTGACACGGACGGAAAGTGATGACGAGTTCCTTCGGCCGCTGAGGATTTCGGATCACTATATACCATCCATCAGAGGGAATCCCCTGCCGTGCACGTGTCCTCCCGGCACCCCTCAACAACACAGACAGCCTATCACAGGCGGCTGCAGCCGAAGCTCCTCCCCCAGTTGTTTACTACGGTTGCCAGGTAGCCTGATTCCACAGCGCGCAGGCGCAGTTCCGTCTCCATGGTGATGTGTAACAAGCGGTGGTTGCCCGGTGTTGTGGAATAGAGTGTGTGATCCCGGCGCGGTCCAGCTGTGTGCTCGGTGCATTCTGTGCGGTAGGTTCACCTTCTTGTATTACACTGATATCTGCATTCACCGTGTTATGTGTGTATCATCCCTCATCCGCACATGTGTCTATGGGGCTGTTCAGCACCTGTGTAGGCAGGAGGGACTACAAGTCCCAGCTTAGCTAACTAACCAGACTTGGCAGGGCATATTCGGGGTTGTAGTATACGTGAGCTGTAGGGACGTTCTCAAAAAGTGAACTTAAATTATAACTATAGGAAAAACTTTTTTTTATTGTAGATTTGGATAGAATGGTGAGGAGTTAGAACCCCGTCAGGTCTTTATCGCTGTCTGTGTCCCTGTTATGGTGGCCATAGATGTTGGCGATAAGCGATCAATATTTAGGGATGTCCCGATACAATTTTTAAGACCAATTACAAGTACTTTCCCTCTGGTACTCCCCGATACCAATCGCCGATACTTTTTCTTAAAGGGACATGTGACTTTGTTTTCTAAAACAATACAGACTGATGATTTCAGGGCAGTTTCTTTATAATTAGAAGTAGGGATGCACCAATACCGATACTAGTACCGGGGCCGACGCTGAGTATTTGGGCCAGTACTCAGTCTCGCCCAAATTCTCTGATGCCTAGCCGAATACTTCCGGTATCAGGAAGTCGGGCAGCGCGTCTGATTGGCCAGAAAGCCGGCTTCATGCGCTCTCGTCACCTAGTGACGAGAAGCATGGGGACGGCTTCCCTGCTAATCGGGAAGCCAGGTGGTGAGTCATTACACGCCTCCTGGCTTCCTTAATGGGACTTCCGGTATCGGCGAGTACCGAAAAAAATATTGTTACTCGATACCGAAATACCGGTATCGGTGCATCCGTAATTATAAGGAACTGTAACTCAATCCATGATTATACCTGTCCTGATACAAAAATGTTTTAACAAAAACCGTATTTAACCGTGCTAAGAAGTGCTTCTCATTGGTCAGCACGGTCACCTGACTGCACTGACCAACGAGTGCTCGCAATTTCTAAGTGAAATTCAAAATCCATAGCGCAGGGCTGCACTGGAAGGCAGTATGGGGTACACATAGTACACTCGTACCGGCAGAGGGGGAGAACAGATTGCCTAAAGTAGGGATGCACCAATACCGTTTTTTCGGTATAGAGTAGAAGTACCGATATTTTGCTTTCGGTACTCGCTGATACCGGTGCTTCCGATGGCATGGGGCCAGCTTCCCGGGCAATCAGGAAGCCAGGCGGCGGGTAATGACATGCCGCCCGGCTTCCTGATTGCCCGGGCAGCCACAGCTTCCTGATTACCCGCGAAGCTGGTTCCATATCCCCCTACGGCATTGCCGGTCATAAATAGGTCCTGACATAATTCTTCTGAAATAAATATGGTGACATGAGGCACAAGGTCCGAGCACTTGTGGGTTCTGAAAGAGAAGGAAAGTCGCAGCTGAATGATAGCTTGTAGTGTTGAAGCTCCAAGTATTGTAACAATGTCATAATTTTATAGTAATTTTCCAGCGGTTGGAATATGATGGACAATTTGTTTGGTTTATCTTTTTATATAACTTGGCCGTGTCTTTCTACTTCTTTTAAAAGGTGACATCCCTGTAAAGTAAGCGTTCCAATGGGCGTGGCGCTGACAAGAGCGGCTCAGTGGACCAGCGCTGGTTCTGGAACTGGCAAGCTGGAGATCACACCTCTGAATGAAGCTCTGCTAAACGACATCATAAAGTATGTGGAGCCTTTTAGCTCCCGGCATCCAGAAGAGGCGGAGTTTGTCTTCAGAGAGCCTCTGCAATGGAAAACCAACTTGGAGCTATCCGCATTTGGATCTGGTTATGATATTAGGTGAGGCTAGAGAGTAATACTTGAAAAGCGCTCTAACGAGTCTAAATTACTGGCATTTTTTCAGAGTTAGAATGTCTGTGGCATTTAGTTCAGATTAAAGTGAAACTGCAGCCCTGTGACACTTATTTTCTGCATATTTCTGTGTAAGTGATCAGCCTAAAGAGGACCTGTGCTTTCTTCATGTAGAACAATGTAACACGTTCACTTAAAGGGGTTGTAAAGTCCCAGCATATACTATCCTGTTATGACATCAGCATTGTAATAGGAATACATAGTAGACTTGTCTCTGATAATACAATCAAAGCTTACTTGAAAAAATCCCTTTTATGTAGTGGGTGCTGCCTTCTGTCTGCCCATCACTTGCCCATCACCTTCCCAGATTCCCAGTAGGGATGCACCAGTATTGGTGCCAATGCCGAGTATTTGGACGAGTACTCGCCCAAATGCTCAGATGCCTAGCCCAATACTTCCGGTATCAGGAAGCCGGGCAGCGCGTCATTACACTTGTGATGAGAGAGCATGGAGCCGGCTTCCCGGCCAATCAGGAAACCGGGCAGCGAGTCATTACACACTGCCCGGCTTCCTGATTGGTCAGAAGCTGGCCAATCAGGAAGCCAGGCGCCGTGTAATGACGCGGCAACCGGCATTCTGATTGGTTGGGAAGCCGGCTTAGTGCTCAATCGTCACATCATGACGAGAGAGCATGGAGCCAGCTTCCCGACCAATCGGGAAGCCAGGCGCTGCGTCATAACACAGCTGTGTTTGCCCCCATCCGTTCTTCCACTCAGCGCTGGAGGATCAGAGTGAGGAGGGAGGGTAACCCTGCGCGGAGCGGTGTCCGACAGTCACTGCTCTCTGCAGGGAGATGATCGCGAAGTGAGCGTGCGACGGTATGCGTTCGCTCACTTCCCAATCTTTTGAGCCGACGTGTGACAGTTTCATTGTCACAGGTCGGCTCGATCTGCAGCATTGCCCTCTCCTTCTATGCCTAGAGAGTCCACAGTGATACCAAGGTGGTCTTACTCCATAAGCGTGCCTTGCCAAGGTCCAAACACAAAGGCTTTGTCTGGTTGTACCTGACTCTCTGTTTATGTTAGTTTGAAGACATTTTCTTCATGGTAATCGTACTGTTATGTTATGATTTTTATTTAAACAAATGAAATGAGCATACACTGTGACCGTGCATTCTATACACACCCCTGTTCAGAAACCTCTTTAACCTGCATTGCCAAAACCGTAGCAGCACATTTGCAAATGCGTTTTTTATTTATTCTAAATGCATTTACATGACTGAGATCCAGTTTGGATGTTGTTTAAATTCCATCTTTATGCCATGCCATCATGCCATCCAGACTGTGTTCTGCTATAGCATCCAGACTAACAACCATCCACCTTGTCAATGAAGGAAGGAGAGAGGGTGTGTTTGGAGTGTGCCAGGGTAATCTGAGGCCAGCGTCTAGCGCATAGTATTTTGGCTTCTCGCGGGTGTGTGGTTACAGATTTAGGTAATGGACATTATCTTTGCTCAATATGGAGTCTGAGATCTATTTCACATAACAGAGTACTAACCTTACCGTGACACCCGTTTTGTCATTCTAGTGACACAGAAGTGAAGTCTGAGGATAAAGACAAAGATGGGATCCCTCTGCTTCTCTTGTCTTCGTCTACAGTGAAAATCCGCAACTTTAAACATCTGTCACGTTTTCTGCAGATCGCTCGGGAAAAAAAGTTAAAAGAAGCACAAGCTTGCCTGGAAGGTCAGTGACCCCATAATGCATATACGTGATTAAAGGTGATTCTGAAAAAAATAAAACCAACTGCACTCAAGGCAGAATTTCATTGTTCAGTCTTAGATTATTTTACCTGTGCTGCCTTAGTATGAAAAGTCGATATTTACCCCTTTATTTAGCTTTGATTACTTTCAGCTTGACACTTCAGCTTGAGTGTCATAGGTCAGGGTTCAGGTCTGGCAGTTACTGCCATGTCAATTGCCTGATCCCACACACTGTCTCCCTGCACTTGAGTGTGCACAACAACCCCATAGTTAAGAGAAATATAAATTGTTTGCTAGTTATAAGCTGAAAGTGTCCCTCTGTAAAACTACCTTTGGGCTCACCTAGCTGACCAATACTTGATATGTAAGCAGCAGTGGGACTTTTATCCTAGAGCGCCTAAGGCTCTCTATGTTGATCTAGCAGTGCTTGCAGAACTGGAGACACTGTATTATCACATTGTTCCTCCAGTGCTTGCAGAATTGTCATTATACTGACATGGGAAATCTGTATTATCACATTGTTCCTCCAGTGCTTGCGGAACTGTCATTATACTGACATGGGGAATCTGTATTATCACATTGTTCCTCCAGTGCTTGCGGAACTGTCATTATACTGACATGGGGAATCTGTATTATCACATCGTTCCTCCAGTGCTTGCGGAACTGTCATTATACTGACATGGGGTGTCTGTATTATCACATTGTTCTTCCAGTGCTTGCAAAATTGCCATTATGCTGACATGGGGAATCTGTATTATCACATTGTACTTCCATTACTCACAATGTTGTCATTATTCTGACACAGGTAATCTGTATTTGTAAACTACACCTTCAGTGTCTGCAGCAGGTAAAAGCTGCAGCAAAGTGGAGATGACTAGAAGGGTACGGCACAGGGAAATGGATAGAATAATTCTGGTGCACCCTATACAGTTCCATTCCCCCACTTTCCCATCAATAAACGTTGATGATAAGCCATGTCAGTGGCTGGTTTTCCTAGTATGGACCCAGAGGAAATATCACAGGGGCTAAATTCTGTATCTGTTACTCACCAGAAAGCAATCACTGTATAATTCAGACTGGAAAATCTCCTTGACACAGTTTTGCCCATTATTATAAAGACATATGCAGTGACATTCCTCCACTATGGTGACCCTCATAGCCAGTATAAGGCCCGAGGACAAGAGGGACTTCCACTCCATCTCTTCTCTTTATTGTCTAATGAGTACACAGGAATTCTTAGACTGTCAGCTTATACTGCTGCCTGTAGGAGAAATGGACACTGGCAACAAAAAAGTTTTTAGCCAGCACAGGATAACCCTGCCCACAACAATCATGCCTAAGTTTTGTAGCAAAGTAGTACCAAGAACATTATAGAAACACTGAGGGGAGTAGGGTTGCCACCTGTCCAGGATTCACCCGGACAGTCCGGGTTTTGAATGCTGTGTCCAGGTTTCATGGCAGCAGAGACCCGGACACAAAATGTCAGGCAGACAGGGGCAACCAAAATCAAGATAGGGGCTACTGGTCCCCCACTGAAAATAGTCTCTGCTGTGATATTTACATATGAATGGGTGGCGGTTTTACATATGCATAAGCCACGACTCATTCTCCCCCCAAAAATGTCCGTGCGTCACTAGAGTGTGTTCGGGTTTCGCTTGAAGAAAAGGTGGCAACCCTAGAGGGGAGGGACCTGTGTCCCTTAATGGACTCCAAGAAAAGGATTTTACAATGAGTACAAAAATCCTATTTTTATCCCAGTTGCTCTTCTATTATGCAAACATTGCTGGCTGACGTTACTCTAGTCTGATGTCATCCCTGCTAAGACGTCACTTAGAATTGTGCTTCATAGCCTTGACAATGGGACAAAATATACTTGTCATAGCAAGTTGCTAAACCATATGGTAAACACATCTTTTTGGGAGAAACATTCCATCAAACGCTTGGTGGTTTTGCATATAAGTTTCCTTACTATTGTCAGGTTGAAAAAAAGATAATAATGTTTTATTTTTCCTTTTTTGTAAATATTAAGTAAATAATAATAAAAAGTAAATATTAAATATTGCATATTAATATGTTGTATTCTACTTTTCACAAGTTTTAAACTTTCTTATCACTACCTGTTGCAAAAAGCTTGTTGACAGAGCCCAATAGCTCAAGATTAAAATTTACAGGAACCAGTAAATGAGTCAGTTTTTAATCACTGTTCCTTCTTTTCACTCTGCATGTCTTTCTCTGAAACCAAACAACTACTCCTGTGTCTTGTTAGAAAATCCACAGCGCTTTATTTCTAAAACAAAGATTTTGTGTGTGTATTCACCACTCCATTCATCCACCGCAAGAAAGGAAAATAAACTTTTGTTAGCTCTGAGTCACTTCAGTTGGAGCTTGCAGAGGGTTTATGCGATAAGCCAGTCATCAAGCACCAGTACTCTCACATGAGAAGAAAGAAGGTGGTGTAGGGTAATTAAATAGTTGGACTGTAATACTTGTAGAGTAGATTGAAGGCTTCATACACCAGTGACTTGCGGTACCTTCGAATTTGAGTGAGGCATTATGACAGCTTTTTCCTCCATAATACTGTGAGGCTCTGCCCCTGACCGCATGTCCCTGGTGCAGAGTACATAACTGAGCAGTGGTAGTGATAGGAGCGGTGGACAGGGGGTGCACAGGTAAGTGGTAGATGGTGTGTTTGGGGGGGTTTGCTTTTGCTCTGCCTCACGTCCCTGTCATACACGCTGCATCGGGGGTATAGAGGAAGTAGAATAAGTCACATTAGCCTTCATACCAGGGAGTACTGTTTTTTTTTTGTCAGCAGGGGAGCACAGAAAAGCTGGGTGCATGCTCCCGGGGAAGGGCCATTAAATCAAACCTTTTTCTTTGCTTTGCATAGGTAAAAAATAGTTTTCCTTTAAAGCATGGCAAAAATAAATGAAACAGATCCAAAGCCAATATATGTTCCTTTTAAAATTCCTCATTGTATTGCCAGCTAACAGAGACCCTATAGCAAAAATCCTTGGTGCTGGATTCGCCACAGTGGAAGGTGAGGACCTGTCTATGCTGCGACTGTTGGATAAAATGCGTCAGAACGAGGATGGGGAGGCTGAAGTTAAGATGAAGATTTTCCTGCTGCTCCAGCAACTTGATATGCAGCTGCTTAACAGCTCTTTAAAACACATTTCACAGTAAGTACATTTACAAACTACGATCTTTCCAGTCTATCAGTTCAACCCTTTTCCCCTTTTAATGAGCAGCAACATCTGCTTTTTATGTGTTAGGAAAATATAATGACGGGAAGGTGAAAGATATGAAAATCATTACATTTATTGATTTAAAAACATAGAAGCAGGCAAACCTAATTGAAGTGGAACAAAAAGTTGTTTTCCAACTCTCCGGCGGGACGCAAACTGTGTACATGTGTTTTATATTTCTGGTTAAGATATAAAATATTTTAGTTGACGTCCAGTCAATTGCCAGTTGCTAAAAAAAGACTCTATTTCCAGTTGTTAAATCAACACCCACCAAATGTATCTTCTAAGTGTGTGCCACACAAGGCCTAAGGCAGCAGTTTCACTTATTGGGACATCTTGTGGTTAGTGGCTTCGTAACAGAACATTTGAACATCTCTGAATCCTAGTAGTTATCAGTGTCTAAAGATCGTAAGCTCTACACCATTCCCACATTGGTTTGGCTAGAGAGCCAGCTAAAGAAACTCAACTTAGACGCAAGCCAAGGACAGGATATCACTTTCCACTGCCAGGAAAGACCTCCTGTCTTCAGCAGTTTAGACTTGTACCCACTTCATCACATACTAATGCTTGTACTTTTACTATTTGATATGGAATGTTGCTACATATGAATGCTGATATAACTATACAAGTGTTTTCTTTTTTTGCAATATTATTTTTTCATTCGTGAAATGTGATGTTAGGAATTTGTGGAATTTCTAGTACGCTGTATAGTATGTATTTTGTAGCATAGAATGTTTGAGTTTTGATGGTACTTTATATGAAGGGGCAGTAGTTTACAATAGTTTGAGGGCTCTATTGAGCTTGCTGATGGTAGGGGACCTTTGTAACCTGCTCTAGAATCAGAATCCTGGGTGGAACATTAGAGCAGCCTTTCCCAAGCAGGGTGCCTTCTGGCTTTATCAAGGGTGACTTCAAACTCTGAAAGGGGGGGGGACTCTGTTGTGAATGGTCAAAAATAACTCACCCGCACTCCAAAGGTCCAATGTGTTGAACGCCTCTTTTTTCAGACGTTATACAGGCATGGTGGCACAGAGTAAAAGCAACGTTTCGGGACCAAACATGGTCCCTTCATCAGGCAAGCACAGTGTTGTGAATGGGGCTCATGATGCGAAGAAGGGTGCTTCTGTTGTGTTTCAATAGAAATGAGTAAACTAAACGTGAGATTGTAGTCCATCACAAGAGTGAGCTTGGAGCTGTGACTACTTTACAACACACACAGGGACCATGGGGAACAAAAGTAGCCACCCTCCAGAAGGAAGGACAGTGTCAGCACCAATTCAGAGATGATTTGAGGCTCTACAGCCGAGTGATACACAAATAAGATACATTTTTGTAAATAGTTAGGATACTTGAATGCATTAATTCATACGATTTAACTCCTGAGTTTAGTGTCACTTTAATTAAAGCTGTCTGTTGTAGGCACACCATCAATGTTTTATGGTTTGTCTTAACCCTTTTTAACTGTTATTTTAGTTGGACAGCTTGGTCTGCATATAAATGGGGAGAAAAATATAAACAATGAAATTTGGGTAACCATTGTCGTTTTCTCTTCCAGAGAAGTAAGAGTTACACCTGCTGCTGTTAAGAATGAGATTGATTTAATTCGGCGTTTCTGCAAAAATGAGGAAAGATCTGTATTGAAATCAATAGAGTACACATCAGGTTTGTAATAAATAACTAATTAGCTTCATAAAATAGTTTAGTGTACAGAGTTTCGAATTATTTACTGATCTGCATGATGGCTACTTTCTGGAGAATATAGTTTAATGGATAAGCATAGGCATGCTTATGCTTTTGTGCACCTCTGTCCTTGTAATAATATTTGTAATATTGTAATAATATTTGCCTACAACCTCATTCTCCTAATATCCTCTCTTGGTGGCCTGCCTGGTGCCCCACAACCTTTGTCCTGCAGTTTTCTGAATTCTGCAGAGTAGTACCTGTGTGCCAACGCCCCATCCCTTTGGTAGAATGCCAATCTACAGCCTAACAATGACAGGAGCTGAGACAAACTATAACACTGCTAGGAATGCTTGAGCATTTGCATCAAGATTTATTTTTGAGTAGAAGTAAACCATGCAAATTAAAGGTAACTTTTAAATGCACCCTCCCGGAGTGTTATTCGTTTTTATTAGTGTCTTTGGCACTTTTGCTGGATAGCTTGGTCAGCAAGTACGTGTAGGAAAAGTAAAATAAAATGTAATATCAATAATATAGTGAATACTATCTGCATACAATAATAAGAATGCAATATTTTTGGGGATAGAGTTTTTTCTTAAAGTATCCATACATGCAATATTCACTCAAAAAAGGTGACAATCTCATGCCTTTAAAATGTCCTTGATGCTGCTGACTGCCAGCTTTTGGAGGGTGCAACAAATGCGCAAGTTATAATACCAGATCTAATTGCTGTCATGTCTTCCAATAAGCCAATAGCAGCCTACTTGTATTGACCTCTTCTCTATTCACCAGCATACCCCACCATGCACAGACCAATGTAGATTTTGATAATTGTTCATCAGCAGTACTAACTGGCCGAATTTTGTCAATCGACAGAACGGATTTTTGTTTGCTGATGTGCAGTGTTCATGTTGCGTTTTTTTTTTCATACGAAAACGCCACTAAGCCATCGATTTTTCGAAAAAAGTGTTCTAGCCTAAACCTATAGACGAAATTCGTACAGTTGCAGAGTAATTGTGATTTTTCACTTCCCATTCACTGGCCGATTATTGTACGAAAAAATTATTTCGTTCAGAAATCGAACGATAATCGCATGGTGTATGGGCACCTTTTAGTTAGTCAAGTCAGCTTTGTAGACAACTAATCTAATGGCCAATTGATTCTGTCTGCAAGGGAGGACGTCCTCTGAGGTCTTTATAAAGCTTAAAGAGTATTTCCACTTTTGCAGTCAAATTTTAGAAAACCTCACTATATGCTTATTGCATGTGCACATTCACACAGCATACCCAAAAATAATTAAAAAAAATATATTTCTTACTTTTTAGATATTTATTTAGTGAACAGTTTGAAACTGAAAGTAGGGGAACAGACTGAAGGACATACAAAGCTTCTAAGGGGTCTATTCACTAAGCTGCCGTAGGCAGCCGAGTAAACAACCGGCCCGAAGTGAAGTGAGCTGAACGCTGTTCACTTCGGGATTATTATAAGGACTTACCTTAAATGATGCCTCTTAATCCGATCTTCTTCTTTAGTGTAGTTTTCAGATGTCCCTCCAGCTCTGGTGCGGGTCTCCAATCCAGTGTTGACTCCTCTGTCCTCCTCTTCTCTGTCTGTGCGGGTGCACACTGCTCCATAGACTTACCTTGTGTCTCTCCTCGTCTCCCGGTCGAACATCTGAACTGCGCATGCGCCCGCCCCAAGATCCTTTGCGGCTGTCCGAGACTCTTCAGATGTTTGGACGGGAGCGTGCAGCGAAGACACAGGTAAGTTTAAACCTGTTTGAAAAGGTTTTTATTTTTAATTTTTACATATATCTACTGCTTTAATAACCCTTTAAAGATGTAAGCAGCAATTTTTTGATATATTCATTTTTTTTAAGTTAAGCTATGTGACTGGGAACATATAAGAAATATAAAGTAGGTGTTATACCAATTTGGCTGCCAAAGTGGAAATACATTTTAAGTCTGTTCTTTTCTGCATTTGGCACTTATAAGCTTCTCACCACCCAAAAGATTTTGGAAAGATAACATGCTCTGCCCCCCCATGATTTTACTCTTATACTCTGATACGAAGCGACTCCCCTGTCTATTGTAAACATAGAACAAAACTCAGGAATATAAGCAGCAGCACTGTGGGAGGAAAATAAAAGGTTTCCTTACCATAATCCAGGAAACAATCCATTTCATACAGTAGAGAGCTATAAAAGAAGATATTTTAGAAGTTCTGGAGACAGAAGTTTGAAGTATCATGAAGAATTGTAAGTTTATGTGCAGACTCATCAGATCAGTGTTTTTTTGCTGATTCTTTAACAGCAGTGTATATTCTTTCTAGATTATGAATTCTCGAATGGGTGCCATACTCTGCCATGGCGGCAGGTTCATGGGGAAATCTGCTATCTAATGATAACGCCACATGACAAAGATCCTTTCTGTGTGACATGCACCACTTCCGGAGCTTTTATAAATGGGGTAAGCATGCATCTCTCTTTGTAGGGCGGTAACATGGGACAACTGTATATATAGTTCACTCATCTCCTTATATTCCATTTTGCAGGGTAAAATGAAGGATAAAGATGAAATCATCTATGACAGACAAAGTGAAATGTATAAAGATCTCATATCACTGTTGAAGGATAAATCACCACAGTTTGCAGAAAATATCTGTAAGCAGGTAAAGTATCAGTTTAAAAAGATTTTCTCCTGATATGTTTTGACAGTTTTTTGATGATGTTGTAAATGAGGGGTCTGAGATTTCACTCTGTTATTATCCTCTTTCTGCAAGCCTGATACTTTAAGTATACCTGTCGCTTCAAGTAACAGAAGAACTGAAGCTTTTTTTTCTGGTTTTGGATAGAGTAAGGGAGGGTTAAAACACGTCAGCTTCTTTTTGCCATCTTTGCTCCATTGGGTAGATTTCCGTTCACTTCCTGTCATATAGCCACAACAGGAAGTGAGAGGAAATCTACCCTAAGCGAGGGAACTCCCTGGTGGTCATGAGGGTCACCAAAATTAGTGTCCTCATTAAAAGATGTCTACTGTATTTCTGTTGTGATGACAACCCACAATGTGGGGGTTTCTTTCACTTTCGCTGATAACGGTCACCAAGACAAATACGGAGGATGGATCTCCCTAATGGGCACACAGACAGAAAAAAACCTGACAGGTGCTCCGATTCCTCTCCACTCCATCCAAAACTAATAAAAAAAGTTTTGGCTTAATTTGCACTTTAACGTTCTGAACCTTTCATAAGAGTTTAATAGCAGGTGCTTGTACTTACCTACATATTCCATGCTGAGTACCTCAAGAAGCCCCTAAAGCCAGGCTGTTCAATATACAAATGCCAACTTTCAGGTCTTCCCTTTCCCTCTGAAGTATGTTCCTTCCTACTGACCAAAGAGACATTACACATTGAGGTTGATTTACTAAACGCAAATAGGCTGTTCACTTTACAAGGAAATGTGCACATTGCAAAGGAAGTTTCCCTTAGGTTAGTGAATGTGGCGAAACTTCACTTTGTAAAGAATACCCAATCATGTACAAGGAAAATAAAAAAAGCAGTATTTTTTCTTGAACATGATTGGGTGATGAAAGTCAGCAGAGCTTCACCTCGTTCACTAAACCAAGAGCAAATTTTCCCTGCTAAGCGCAAATTCCCTTGCAAAGTGAACAGCCTAGTTGCCTTTAGTAAATCAGTCCCATTGCATAGAAGGGGATGGAAGGTGTGGCAGAGCCTTGGCACTTTATGAAGAGACAGATTCCATTCAGGTTGCATCTGCAGTTCTGGACTAATCTATATGAGTGTATCCAAAAGAGCAGTGTAAGGACAGGATGTACAAAATGAAGTCATGTATAATCACACAGCAGATATCATTTCCACTTACTTAGCTATGTTAAACTGAAATCTGATTGGCACCTGTAAGTTACTGGTTTTTGCGTGTGTGCATGTTTGCTGTACTTCTCTTGGAGTAGAATAACTGAGAAAAGCTGATTTCTGCTAATTACTAATATTAATAGATAGCTATCAGTCACCTAGAACTTTTTCTAAAATTTGCTCTTTGAAGCAGTTGTCTAATGTAGCTTGTTGGAGAAACATGGCAACGGCTTCATTGGTTAAGAAGCAAGAAGCTAAACAAAAAATGTACTGTTCTGATGACAACCTAAAATTTTGAATTTCTGTTCTGATGACAACCTAAAATTTGGAATTTCTGTTCTTGTAACAGTCCAATACATATTGCCATTAAAGCAATAAATATGCAGTAGTGTTACTTATACTTGCTTTGGTCTTAATGAGAGCATTTAAAGTGACACTAAATTAAGGAGTTGAATCTTAGAAATGAATTCATGTACATTAACTATTAACAAAAATGTATCTTATTTGTGTATCACTCGGCTGTAGATCCTCAAATCATCTCTGAATTGGTGCTGACACTGTCCTTCCTTCTGGAGGGTGGCTACTATTGTTCCCCATGGTCCATGCGTGTGTTGTAAAGTAGTCACTGCTGCAAGCTCACTCCTGTGATGGATTACAATCTCAATACAAATTAGTAGGGATGCACTGATACCAAGTACTGCACTCGGTACATGTACCGATATTTTTCGAGCTCCAAAACTAGACTAGGGAAACATTCAAAAGTTAGGAGTCAGCTGTCATTTGTAAGGAGCACACGGAGCTCCTGGGATTTGTACATCTCTGTTTATTGTATGATTTTGTTTTTATAGATATAAATAAAGGAATGCACCGATACCATTTTTGCAAGTACAAGTACTGATATTTGCCCAAGTACTTAGAAGTACGAGTACTGATACATTTTTGTTTATTGCCATGTGACAGTTTTTCTAAAACAATACAGACTAGTGATTTCAGGACAGTGGTGGAGCGCCAGGGCCAGGTCCCAGCTGCAACCGCTGCAACCCTGGTAGTTCTCATGAAAATGCCAAGTATCGGCACTGGTATCTGAAAAGTATCTGTGCATCCCTACAAATTAGTAAACTAAACATGAGATTGTAGTCCATCACAGGAGTGAGCTTGGAGCGGTGACTACTTTACACCACACACAGGGACCATGGGGAACAAAAGTAGCCACCCTCCAAAAGGAAGGACAGTGTCAGCACCAACTCAGAGAGGATTTGAGGATCTACAGCCGAGTGATACACAAATAAGATACATATTTGTTAATAGTTATTGTACTTGAATGTATTTTTACGGTTAACTCCTGAGCTTAGTGTTACTTTAAGATGGAGGCTGAAATGTTATGTCAACTTTTGGGCTTCTAGGTCATGGTTGTGTTTGGCATGAGAGTATTGGTGCAAACGTTTTTGGCACATATCGTTTTTGGATCGATAGAATGCGCTTTAATGCATTTTCATTGCCATTGCTTTTGGCACATATGTTGCATATAAAGTTTAATTGTGGCAATAATCATACCCAAAAACCGACGAAATAATTTATCCTAACGTAATGCTAAATCTTCATTCAAGCCCTCACCCCAAGCACTGGAAGCTAACACTGTAACTAAACCTAACCTAACCCCTTAACACATCCCTTAATCCCTGGGTATAACATTACAATAGCCAAAATCTTAGTGCTGATTTTGAATTGGTAAAATAAAATTTCTAGCACCAAAACAAACCTATGATGTAATACAGTATATCAGTGACAAAATATACAGTACGCCAAGGAGTTTTTGCAGAAGAAAACGCATTAAAATGTCTAAACTGGACACAGCTGATCTGGGCTGAACAACGAGGAGGAAGCATAACCATCCTGCTAATAGGCTTTGCCCCTCTCTACTTATCTTTATTTTATGAAAGAACTGCAACCAATATATTAAGTTTGGAAAGGGTGGGGAAGGTTTAGAACTTCTGACTGGTTTTTGTTGCTGATTGTGTTTTTATTGGGGTGATTACCCATTACTTTCCATTACATTGACAGGAAGTGAAGGGTAATACCCCACTCTATGTGGAACAAAACTATAAAGTGTCACATTCAATTTGATTATCAAAGGGCTTTCTATAGCCCTAAATTAATTTTTTTTATTGGCATTAGTTGCCGGTAGTTTGTTATCCTTGGGACTCACAAAGCTTTTGTTTTGGACAAGATAATTTGTTCTTGACTTTCCACAAAAAGAAAAATGTTTGTAAGGGAGTACACAGGCTATATCCAGGCAAAGGCTGGAATGGTGGCTGGTGTAAAGGCATAATGTGTTTGAAGGATATACTGTATATGGGCTTTTCATTGTTCAATAACCCCGCGTCAGTCCTCCTGAATTTAAGCCCTACGTATGTCCAGGAAGAGATATAAGAAATTGCTAATGAGACACTTGTTTAGCGCTGCTCGAGCTTGTATCCCAAGTGTATGGAAGCAGTCTACACCCCCACCAGTGACATGATGTGCCTTTGTGCTGGGTGAGGCATCACCCAGGCTGCCGAAGTTCCGCCTCCGTCCCACCGAAGCTCCACCCCCATCCCGCCAAAGCCCCAGCTCAGTAACCAAGCAGTGTGGGGAGGAGGAAGGGAGGAGACAGGGAGGAGCCTCTTTGTCCCTCACTTGCTCCTCACTGGTGAGGCTTCGAGATCGATGTGCTCACTGTTTTTTTCTTCTTTTTTTTGATTGGACAGGTTGTACCAATTGGCGCTTTGCAATTGGTCCAAGCCATCCACAGAGCTCAGGCCTCTAACACAGAGTAGAGGCTGTGACAGCTCTTGCCTCACCAAGTTAGGTTACACAAGCAGTGGGGAAGCCCACTGCTGTGTAACCTAACTACCTGTCAAAAGCTGGATGCAGCGCTGCCTGTAATTAGCAGGCAGTTCTCCGTCCATGACAGGTTACACGGTGGGGGGGGGGAGGCTTTCCCTTCTGTGTAACCTGTAACAAGCCGATCTGAATGGAGAAAAAGCTGTCAGGTTCAGACTTGAAGCTGACACCTTTTTTCTTCATACTACTAGGTGTGGCTCTGCCTCTCCTGCCTCCCCTGACCGCACGTCCCTGACCCCCACCCATAGCACATTGGCTAGATCAGAGATTTGGAAAATACAACTGCTGCCCTGAGGGAGAAGACTGAAGCTTTTTCACACACTTGGCTTTATTGGGAACAGTTGTGATTCTCCGGACCACATAGCACTTCTTTAGAATCATATGATATGTTGGGTCCTGCTGATCCTGTAAGAGGTGGCATTTTTCTTCCTTTTTCCTACTTCTCTATTATCCCCCTCCCCTGGCAACCATTTCTCTGCTTTCTCCTCTGTTCCTATTTCACCCCCCGCCCTTACCCCTTCTTCCCTTACTTCCTCATTTGGAGAATATTCTCTCCCCAATTCTTGTTTTATTGCATAAAAATGTAAAATCTACTAAAGACAGCGCAGATTTTGGTACACTTTGACCTCTAATTTGTATGGGGATAATGTATTGATAACTTGGTGCACGATTAAATTATGCTTTGTATGGAACCTACGGTGATTGCACCTTCTATGTTCATATTTTCCATCTATACTGCTTGTACATTGGTGGATTTGTTCAAAATTTGAAAAAAAGGATATACTGTATAAAACAAAAATGTCAATATATTGCAGCATACGAGTCCTTGGATGTGGTGGCTGCATTCTTTTTTTTCAAGAACATATTCTGCAAGTATATATAATGTTGATCCATGGATTGTCATTCAGGTTCCTTGTTAGCAGCTTTTCCAACTACTTTATCTTCTGTTACTGTCAGTCATTTTGGTGTCATCCCTCCAATGGTGGCACCCGGGTGCGGGCCGCACCCCCCTTGTGACGCCACTGAAGGAGCTTTCACCACATCCATCCTTCTATTGAATAGAGAAGCGGATCATTGTGGGTCTCAGGGACATGCACAAGGACAGGCAGATGTCTCACCCTCTGTCTTTATCAGATTTCTGCCCATCTATGATCACTTGAGGATTGAACGTTGTAGATTGTTAGTAGATTGCAGAAATCATATTTCTCATTGATACAAAATACAGTATGACGTGCTTGGAAAGGAAACATTTAATAGCAAATGACTTCATGTTGGATTTATTTTGTATGCAAGCATTAATGTTTGCTGTATATCTTAGATGTCCATTTTCTTTCATCAAGATACATTAATAGCGTTCCATTGTCTACTCATAGGACTTTACATTGTTTGAAGCTCCACCGGTGGCTGAAAAGGCTGAACATGTGGATGTAGTTGAAGCAGAGGAACTGAGCCAAAACTATTGGTCTAATGAGTATCCAGAGAAGAAAGCGCAGGAGAAGACAAGGCATTCCCTTGTAAAAAGCAAGACTAACAAGACCAAATTAGAGCCGTCTCTGAAATGGAAGAACCTGCCTGTTAATGGTCACCAAGAGTATGTTGTCTTTTCAATTCTCATATGCTGCAATTCACATAGTTTATGGACATTTGAAATTAACTAGACATATACACAGAGGCCAAATTATTTTAGTTAGTTGTGGTAATTTCGTAAATGGAAAAAATTCAATGGAAACCTCAGGAAGATTGAAGATTGTGTGTCTTTGTACATACGAGTAAAGAGGACAGACAGAAAACATTATTAAATTCAGTCTTGATTTACGTGGAAATTACAATTCACTAATCTAATAAGGAAAAAAAAATTAAAAAGGGCTGGATTCCTTAAAAAGTAATAAAATACACTGTAAACCCACAGTTAGAGATTTCATTATTTCATTGCCATATAATTCTGCACATCTAAGAACATTGGTACTCATTCCTCTTTGGTGCTCAGTCTTGGTAAATTCTGTTAAAAGCTTTTATCTTATAGATGAGCTAAAGTTGAGCTCCAGGCAGATAAAAAGGACACAAAACAACGCGCCTTTA